AGGGATGGCTTGAGGCCTGAGTTTATCCAGAAGCGGGGAGCAACCTTTTGCCCTGTCACCCAAATGGAAGCGTTGTCTGGGGAGGCGAGGCCCGCAGGCATCCTCTGCTGCTCATGGGCTCCAGTCATGTGGGCTGGCAGGGGAACAGGCCGTCCAGAGCAGCCGAGCCCTGAGACACTCGCCATGGCCCCACCGGTGAGCAGACGCATTGTCTGCGGCACCCAGGCTCTGGCAGGCTGGGCCTCGGCTGGTACCTGCACCCACGTGTCCCCAAGGTCAGGACAGGTAGCTCACCTCCCCTCTGTGTGTGGATTGCATGCGACAGGCTGCCAGGGCTCTGACAACCACTGGGTCCCCGTGGGCTCCTGCCCCCTGCCCTCCTGCTGTGTACAGCCTCCCAGAAAAGGTGACTAGTCGGGGTGGCCAACCCCTCACACGGCTCGGCCACCTTTCCATTTTGATGCTCGTTTTATGTGATCGTGTTAGCACCAGCCACAGATCATCCTCAGCGGCCTCACAGCAGCAGCCTGGTGCTGGGGTTGGACCCCAGCTCACCTCAGGGGTGCCCGCCCCTCCCACAGCAGGATTCCCCTCCCCGCAGACTGGAGGCTGGAGACCCCCAGGCTCACCGCTGCCTGCACAGGGCACTCAGCCATTCAGTCACACCCCCACACCGCCCCCTCTCACACCTGTACACCCCCGTACACACGCCCACACACACAGCCCCTATGCACACTCGCCCGTGGCTCCTGCTCCACAGCTAGCAGTGACTCAGAAACATGCTGGAACGAGAATTCCTGTTTTCCTTGCAAGTGGTTGGCACTTTGGGGCATTTCCTCCCGTTTGGAATTCCTTCCCGCTAGACGATTTGAGGAACTGAGCAGTTTTCCACTCTGCTGGGCCACCCTTCCGTCCACCCCCTCAGAACAGGCCACGGGACATGAAGGAAATATGTTTTCATGGAAGATTTGCACTCGCCGCAGAAACAAGAGCGGAGGGAGGCCATCAGTGGCCCCGGAGGCTTTCAGGGTGAAAGGCCTGATGCCTCAAGTGGCTGCACCCCAGGAGAGGGGTCCCCCTCATATCCTAGGAAGGCCAGATTGGTGGGTGTGCTGGGGTGCTCCGTCTGTCTGCCTTCACCACCACCACCACCACCACCCCGCCCCCGACGTGATGGCAGCTCTCTCTCTGGAAGGAAGGCTCAAGGCTGGGGCCGTGGGAGGCCGGCCTGCCGTCACCCTGGCCATGAGTGGTGGCCTCCTGGAGTGGTTATTGGAGCGCTGAGCCCCGAGGGACCTTAGTGTCCTGGGGGCATGTGGGGGGCCGTCAGACGGGATCCTGACCCAGTGTTGCATCAGCCTGTCATTCCAGTGACCTGACCACCCCTCTGCTGTCCTCCCCCCAGCTGTGTTTCCAGTGCACCTGAAGAGGTTAGTGACAGACAGGGCTGCTAGGTAGACAGCTGGGTCAGGGGGCAGCCTGAGGGAGGGGCTGCAGCTTAAAGCCTCTAAAAACACCCACAGGCACAGTACCCCAGCTCCATGTCATCCCTTTAGGTAGACCAGAGGTGGTTCTGCCAAAACTAACTGGATATCAAAGTCAGCTTGGAGATCCCTAGAAAAATCCCCCATTTTGCGGAAGGTGCCAGAAGGAGGGAGCCCTGGAGTCCATTTGCCCAGTGAAAGTGGCAGAGCCAGGTTTCGTTTTCCCTGATGTCTCCTGCTGCCTTGCCCTGGGCCCGGAAAGAGAAACCTGGGTATTGGTTACAGCAAGGATGGGGTAATAGGTCCTGGTCCCGAGGAGAGCTGCCACCCTCTGCCCTTGGGGCTGTGTGGGTGCTCGTGCTGCAGAGCTCATTCCCCCCTCAGCCTGGCAGATGGTGGGTCATAGCACTGGGCGTGGTGCAGGGGCAGTGGGCTTGCTCTCTCCTCCCACCTGCTGTTGCCCTCTGTCCCGCCGTCAGCCAGGGTCCTTCCGCCAGGCATGGGCTGCTGTGACTCACCTATGGGTCCCAGCTCTTTGTGGAGGACCTGGCGGGATAGGTCATGACCTTTGGAGACAGCCTAGCACAGGCGCCCGTGTTTCACCTCTGTGCTGCCTCCGCTTCCTCATCTGTGCAGGGGGGCTGGTGTCGTTTTCCCGCACGCTCCTGGGGTGGGTGGGAAGTGCAAGCTGCTGAGGTAGCTGGTGCCCCAGAGAGGGTCCTGGGGGAGAGGGCACACACCCGCTGTTAATTCTATGCATCCTCATTTCACACCAGGTTCGAGACCCCCAGAAGCAAAACTGGTCATTCCCTATCAGCCCACTTTGGGCCCGCACTGCCGTGCTAACTGGCGGTGTGAAGGTACTAGGAGGAGCCTGCAGGGCGGAGGCCGCCCTCCCGCTGGAAGAGCCATCACCAAGAGCAAGGCGGACTAACCTCACAGAGCACGATTGTCCACTGAGCCCCAAAGCCTCAGTGGCAGGGTTGGGGGTCGCCATTGTGGACAACAAGGTGGTGTGCGCTCCCTACCCCCATAGCGGGGGAGAGTGCCTGCTGAGCCCCTGCTCTGTCCAACCGAACAGAAATAGGGTTCTTGGCCAGGTAGCCCCTGAGTCCTGGGCATGTCCAGGTGCATCTCCACCTTGTCGCAGGCTGAGTCTGGTGTCTGTAGTCGTTTTGGTCCTGGCGTTCCCCCTGAGAGTGAGGAAGTGCCCCGGCCACCCAGGGTCGGGACAGGTGCACACTGGGTGCACTCACGGTCGTGCACGTCCCTGTAGTGGCTGTACCCAGAGAACGGCCTTCCTGGGCACCTGCTCTTGAGCGCCCGTGTCTGGGGCTGGCCGCAGACACTCCATGGGAGGAGAGCCTTCTCCTAGGGGCGATACAGGCGTGACGTAGGATTCACTGTTCCAACTACTTGTCAGCGCGTTGCTCACTGCGTTGTGTGTTCACATCATTGTAGCGCCGTCTGCCTCCAGAAGTCCCCCCACAGCTGAGAGTGGCCAGGGAGGCAGTGACTGCCCCTCCACTTTCTGATTCAGTCCCGACCCGACTCCCGTACCTCCTGCGCCTGTCCTCCTGGGACGGGCTGTTTGCGCTCGAGTGGGTGGGTGGACCGAGCATGCCTCTCTGCTCACCTCCCAGGCGCCCTGGGGTTGCTTCTGCTGTGGCTGTGAATGGGGCTGCCGCGTGCCGGGGCGCAGACCTTCCCGTTCAGGTCCCTGCTTCTGGCCCTTGAGGACATTTGTCTGAAAGTGGAATTCCTGGCTGAGGAGGGGGAGCTGATAATCTGGGGGTGGGAAGGGGTAGGAAGCTAAGAAAAGTAACTCAGTTGCTTCAAGTTCCCCTCTCCCTAAAAATGTTGAGTAAAAGTAGAATCCCTGGATTATATGGCAATTGCAAGTCTGAATTTCCAGGAACCACAAACCTTTCCACACCACCGTCTTATGTTCCCGCCAGAAATGTACCAGGGTCCAGTCTCTCCACGCGCTGGGTGGGAGGTGCTACCATGAGGGCTCAGACTTGGGGACTGGCATCTGGCAAGGCCGGGTTCAGACTCTGCTCTTCATGGTGAGTGTGGCCCAGCGGTGGTCGGAGGTGGACCCCCACTTGGGGCCACCCCTGGAATTCCAGCATGTCTGTCCAGCTTTGGCCTGCCCCAGCAGAACCCTGGTCCGAGGCCAGCTCTGCCATGACCACAGAGCCTTACTCGTTTAACATGCTCCTGGGCCACCTCCCTGTCCCTCCAGCCTCTGAGATTAATCCAGCACATGGGCAGCCTGGAAACAGCTGTGTCTGTGCTTGGGTGTGCCCCTCGCCTCCCCCCACAGGCAGCCTGAGGCTGCACGCGCGTGGGTTCGTGTGCAGGGCCACCCTCACGTCCTGTCTGCCCGTCTGCCGTCCCGGCAGGCTAGAGGGGGCGGGAATGTGTGGTGAGCTCTTGTGGCTCCGGGAGTTGGGGCTGTAGCCCCTGCACGGGGCTTGGAGGGACTCGGTGTGCCTGTCCCAGGCATGAGGCGCTGCACTGCATGGGTGCTAGTGGCCTGGCCTGTGTCCCTGAGGCCTTCACACACCCGCATTTCCTGACTCCCACCCGGGTCGGGTAAAGTTGGGGGCAGTGCCAGTGCCTCTGCCTTCTTACCCACTCCTCAGAGGGGTCCCCACCCAGCAGGGGGAGCAGCAGGAAGGGCCATGGCGGCCTGTGGGAGGAGAGGCACGGTGCATTGGCCCAACCTCCAGATGCGGCTGGGTCATGACTTCCACTCCGCTTTAGGAGTGGTGCGAGTGTGTCTGTGGTCTTGCTTCCGCGCCCCCTGGGACTTGCCTGACTTGCCAAGCAGTGGGACCCGGGCTCCGCATAGACCCCTCCCCTCTCGCCCCAGAGCCCATGCAGCACCAGCAAGGCCTAGAAGAGGCCTGCAGCAGGCTTCAGGGCGCTTCTGAGACCCCATGTCGCAGTGCCATCCCCACACAGGCCCACCCCGCTTCACCACCCAGGCTGCACATACCTCAGGCTGTGGCCTCAGTGAGCAGGGAGATCAGTCCCCATTCCTTGGGCCCACATTTTGCTGCTGCTGCTGCTCCTCCTCCAACCTGGAAAACCCCCTCCCCCCGGGAGAGGAGGAACTGTGGTTTCTGGGAAGTCCGGAACCTGCCCTGCTGACCTCCCCAGCTCTGTGCCAGGAAATTCCCCTGGCTGGGTGAGGGCCACGGTGGTTACCACCACTGACCGCCTTTACTTTGGGCTTTATGGAGCGGATGTCACGCAGCTGTGTTCCAAGCCTCAAAGCCATAGCGGCCTGTTCTCTGAGTCCTCCCTCCGCCCGGGCCTTGGGCTGGCCTGGCCAGCTAGAGGGAGACCGGCTAGGAGGAAAAGCAGTGTTGGCTGATGTGGTGATGCCTCAGGTGAGCCAGGGTGGGGGGTCCGAGGGGAAAGAGTAGGTGGTTCCGGGAAACAGCACTGGGAGGTGGGATATGCGGGCGGGGGGGGGAGCTGGTTGGGGGGGGGCGCCACAACATGCACAGCAGAGCTCGGCCCTCAGGAAGGACACCCCACTGGTGGAGGGTGCTGAACAGGAGCACAGCCCTGCTGGGACCCGCGGAGATAGAAACCCACAGACCATGCAGAGCTGAGGGTCCTGCAGTCACACAGAGGACCCTGGACCATGAGTCTGGACAAGCCCCCAGGTGGTTTTGCTGGGCCCCCAGGAGCCCACTCCCCTGGGGGCCCAGCACATGAGAGCATTATAGACCATGGCCAGTGGCATCAATGGGGGTTCCCCCTTGCTCTGTCAGTCCTGGCTTCTTGAGGGGTGATGCAGGCTGAATAGGTACCTGTGACTTCGGTCGTAAAAAGGAGACGTGTCTGCAGATAACTCACAGGACCCCAGGACCCCTCAGAAATGCTGTCAGGGCCCAGGCCACGGTGGGCAGGTTCAGCCACGTGGATAGAAGGAGTTAGCCAATGGGGGTAGGGGACTGTTCATAGAACCCCCAACCCCGAAGTGTGGGAGACAGATGTGTCTCCTTGGATGGCAGTCTGTGACCGGAGTGGTAAGGGGTCCACCACCAGGGCACGTGACTGTCCTACAGCCCCTTCGTCTGGCCTGTGGACTCCCTGAGTGTCCGACACTCTGGAGTCAGGGCCCCATAGTGTCCTCATCTTAGGCCCATATTTCCACCCTGCTGCCCCAGAGACCTGCACCCACTAGTTTACACCCTGTCTGTGAGCCAGAGAGGGAGACCCCTGGGGCTCCAGTCTGCTGTCACCAGAGGGAAGGCTTGTTCTCCATCACAGAGCAGGAACCCAGGGGCATTGATGTGGCCAGGCAGAGGGCACCTCCCTCACAAGCCCTTCAGAATCTCCACCGCCTAAGACACCCTTCTGTGTGAGTCAAGCTGTCCTTTCCATCTAGAGCCCATTAGCTGACAGCACCCTACCTGCCCTTGCACCCCCACCATGTGCCCAGGGAGTCATTGGCCCTTCCCCCTTGCACCATATGCCCTGCCTTACAGCCGTGGAGGGGCACCCCAAATCTGGGCCATGCTAATTTCCTCATACTGCTCCCTGCCCCCTCCCACCCCGGCCCCCAATGGCCAGCCCATCCCCTGCAAGACAGCCTTTTCAAAGTACCGTTAGAGAACCGTGGACCCCTGCTGCCACCATCCATTCATGGAGGCATCTCCCCACGCTGTGCAGGGGCTCCATTAGACCGTCAGCCTTCCCCCAAAGATAGGGTTCTAGGCCCAGACCCACCTCCAGGGCCTGGGAAGCAGGTCCCAGAGCTCCAGTGTGCAGAGCACACTGCCCCACAGTACCAGGAACCCCTGATGGTTCTGTGTCCAGGCTGGAATGGGGAGCCCTGTTTGGGGCTGAGGGAGTATGCAGTGGCCTGGCACCTCCAACCATAGGAGTCTGTCTGAGCCAGTGTCCTGCCGGCCTTGGACTCCTTGGAAGGACACCAGGTACCTCGGCATAGTCCCTCTCTCTTGCCCCCACCCCACCCTAGCTGGTCCCTACGACAGTGGAGGCCTGTGGCTAGCTCAGCCCCATCCCACTCTCCTCCTGCCCAGTCCACTGCTGTCCTTGCTACCCAGTACCACCGCCCCACCCACCGGCAGGCTCCCTCCATCCCCAGACAAACACACTCTTCTGCCCGCACACAAGGCCCTTGTCCTGGGCCAGACCCTCCCCTGCACAACCATCTGGATTCAAGGAGTTGGGAAGGCCTCATCCAGGTGGGCCACGGGAAGAGGAGAGTGCATCCAGAGCACCCTAAGTGGTAAGGTCTTTGATGGTAGGAAAGGGAGGACCTGGAGGGTCAAGGTCACTTACTGGGAGCTGTATGTGCTCAGGCGGAAATGCCTGCAGACCTCTGGCTACAGTTGATGGAAACAGAGCAGGCCTCACGGCCCTGGGCCCTTTGTTCTCAGGGCTCCCTGCAGGGCGGTTTGCACACATCCTGGCAGGAATTGTTCTCCTGCAGGTCTGTCTGGAGACCGCCCTCAGGATCCCACTTCACTGCCTCCTGTTTCCGCAGCACACCTACAATTCCCAAGGACGGAGAAGGGCCAGCTGTAGGCAGTGAGGAAACCTGAGACTAGGAGAGGCCCATCCGCCTTTGTGTATGCTTTCTTGGCCTGCCCTTCTCCAGGTCAGGCACAAGCCTCTGGAGGCCCTGGGTGGGGCAGCCAGGGGCGCTCCCTGGGGACCTGACGCCAGCCCGTGTTGCTGAGCTCATTCAGAAGCAGGCACTTGGGCTTACGCACCTGCTGAGCTCACCTGGTGCTTGGGGCCTTTCCTGCCAGAGGCCTGGCCCCCAGGAGGCTCTGCACAGCACGGATGCCTGCGGATGAGGCCACTGCTTCTGCTTTCCTCCGATGGCTGGCTACCCCAGGGGGAGGCCCCTCAGACCCCAGTGCTCTGATAGCAACATAGACCCCTGTCAGGTGCTCTGGGACCCAGGCCAAGCGCAATGGATGTGGGAAGTAGCCTCTCTCAAGGCTGGAGTCCCAAGGGTAAGGCCTCCAGCCCATACCAGCACGCAGGGGCTCAGCAGAAATGGGTGGACACAGGCTGCTGCTCGGCATTTCACTGCCCTAGCTGAGAGCCCAGGCACTGGAGAGTCGCGGCAGGAGAGGGCTCGTGTCTGCCCACCCTTCCTCAGGCGCGTTCTTCTTCCCTGGGAGGACCATGTGGGGTCTCAGTTATTCTGGATCCTTCATCAGGCTGAGGGAATTTTCTGCTCCTCCACTCTGCTGGTTTTTATCGTCAACAGGTACTTCATTTTTGCAAGCGCTTCCGGTCCATCTGTCTGTCATATGTGCTCATGGGTTTGACTTGATGAGATTTTTGCTTGGATTTTTTTTTTTTCCTAATCCCCATGCTTACTGAGGAGGGCAGTCATTTTCCTTTATTTTCATGTGTGTGTCTGGTGGTGTTAGAGTGATGTTGGCCTTACAAAAATTAAGTGGGGCACTGTTTTTACATCTTTAGTGTTACTCAGGAGAGTTTGCACAAAGTTGGATAATCACTTTGAAAATTTGGTAGAAACAGCTTGAAATTCTGTCCACCCCAATACTTTTTATTTCTATAAAATGTCAAAGCTGTAGAAGAGTTAGTATAGTAAGAAGCCTCGGTCCTTCCACCCGGACACGCGGACTGTGTCAGTGTTTGCCACTTTGGCACGCGTGCCTGCACATCTGTGTCCTCTCGCGCTCTGCTTCTCCGTGCACATCTGTACACGTACATGGGCTTACGCTTATGTGTGCACAGGTTTATACACTTAAGCGCTTGCTTTTTAGTTTGGTTTGGGTTTGTTTTTTTTCCCTTGGTCTTTTGTTTGTTCTTTTTTGCTTTTTGGCAGAACTGTTTGAAATTCAGCTGCAGGCATTCCTCAGTATTTAAATATTTGTAGGAAAATCTTGAATCACTGCTTTGATTTCTTTAAGGCTGTAGGGGTATTTGTGGCTTTCATTTTTGACATGACTTTTCTGTTTCTGTCTCTTGCATCTTCTCCCGTCGCCCCGACCCCGACTGGCGCGAGCGTGCTTGAATTCAGTCTGACCGTTGCCTTCTGCAGTGGCCTGCCTCTCCCTCCCTCAAGTCTGGGCCGGGGTCCCCGGGCTGGGTTGCCCCTGTGTGGGGTGCCGCGCTGTCTGTTTCATGCAGTGAGGAGACAGAGGCTGGAGACGTTCCTCGGGGCTCTTGTCTGGCCACACACCTGCTAAGTGGCAGGGTTCTTTCTTGACAAGTTAAGACCCGGATCCTGGTGCCCCTGCCAGTTCTCGGGGCGCCCGTGCCTGCTCCTCCCCAGGGCAGACATGCATTAGGTGCAGACTCCCTTGATACCTGGGAGACTTTGGCCACCTACCCTGAGCTTCAGTTTCCCCTCCATGGAGTGCTCTGAGAGTCATCCCCACCATGAGGGTTTGTGGGGTGAAGTGAGTCGTGACTGGCTGCTGTGCCCCACTCCCTAGACCAAGCCCCAGCATCCCTTCTCCTGCTTCCCAACCACAGAACTTGATAGCGGTGCTGGGGTCTTCTGGTTCTGGAAAGGTTCATCTTACCCAGCCCCCAGTCCAAGGGTGAGGTGGCGGGTCTCCCGCACGCCCGCAGGAAGTGGTTCTCCCTCAGTAGAGCTGAGCTAGGGCGGCAGGGCCCTCGGGATGAAGAAGTGGAACATCAATGTTAGTGTCTGGAGTGCGCTGCGGAGGCTCTGAATTTCTCTGGGCAAAATAATCTATGTTAAAGTGCACATGAGGCTGCCTTCCCCGGCCTGCTCTGTACTTGTGCAGACACTTGTGCAACACAGGATGGGATTCCTGTGGGGTTTTGTTCAGAAACTCCATTGGCCCATGTGGTAAGTAATCAGGACTCGCCTGAGCTGCAGGGGGGAGGGGTGGGTGGGGCTTGGAGCCAGCGACATGATAACTGGGTTCTCGTGGCTGTGGGGACGTCTGTAAGCCGGGCTCAGGGGAGGGGGGAGAGCCTGTAGCCTGTGACTTACCACCTCTTGTAAGATGAGATAGATCAGGGACATAAAAGACTTAATCAGTTTGTTTGTTGTGTAATGCATGCTTGGTTATATAAAATTGGGAGGGGGAAAAAAAAATACAGCAAAGCAGAAGGAAAAGTTGCCCCTGAGACGAGCCCCTTTGCATTTGGCACATGCTGTGCTTGTCTTGCCTCTGTATTTAGTCTTTTCCAGAATTGGCATCCAGTTTGACATAAACTTTGATGTGGGCTCTTGCTGATGGAGCGCGCAAGGGTGCTCTGGTGTCATTGCAGAGTTCGGCTTGCCAGGGAGGCCCCGGCAGAGATACGTCATGCTGTGACACCCGAGCTCGAGTTGTACCCCGAGCTGCTCTGCCCTGACAGGTGTGCTCCACAGTCCTCTGCCCTCAGGCCTGGCTGCGTGTCCCTGGCACGGAGACCGAGACCCAGGGGCTGGCATGTCTAGCGAAATTCAGGAGCAGGTTGAGCCGGCACGTGTGCTGCACAGTCTGCTCAGGCACGTCGCTGCCAGTTTCCTCACCCACAGGCCTCCGAGTCCCTCCATGGGCCCCGACGGCCATGTCAAGTCTGCAGATTCCGAGGTCATAAACAAGGAACAATTCAGATCCCTGGTAATATCCTCAGCCAGGGCCTAGGCAGAGTGAGCCCGAGAGCATTTGGCCAGGATGCAACGCTGATGACGAGATCCCCAGCTTCTGGAGGCAGGTCAGGCGGAGTCAGCTGGCACGCAGCCCCACCCAGGGTAGGTCCAGGGTGGCACGCTCACCACCCCTTTACCCCAAGGTGTGAGTGCATTCAGATGGAAGTGAAGACTCATCTGCTGGTGTTGGGAGCCAGGAAGTCCCAGGCAGGTGGGCGTGGAAATGAACAGAGCCTTCCTGCCCGGTGAGCGGCCCTGTGGGCCCTAGAGACCTGCTGTGCACTGCCAGAGAGCTGGCAGCAGCGTGTGGTAGAGTTGAGGGGAGGGGAGGGGCATAAGAAGGTGGATCATACCCCCTGCTGCTCTCCCAAGACGCCCCATAGTGGTACTTCTGGGACTCTGTCAAGAGTCCAGGGCTGGAGCTGGCCTGGCCATGGTGGGTTTGGGAATAGCGGGCAGGCTTCCAGGAAACCAGTCCTTCCCTCACTAGAGAGGACATCTCTGCAGAGACCTACCTGACCTCACTGGCTTCCCTCACCCAAGGTCTTTGCCATATGTCTTCCCAGACTCTGACCTTGGGCAGGCTTGCAGAACTCCTAGTAGCTTTAAGGGGCATTTCCTAGGAGGTCTTGGCATAACAGCCCCTCAGCACCTAGCTCCAGCTTTGCTCAGTGTCAGTGCAAAATGGCTTCCCAGTGCCCCCTGCTGTGGGGTTCGTGCACCCTCTCCATACATGGTGGTCTGTCTCTGCATGCGGCTGGACTTGCATCTCCAAGGAAGGAGGCCACCCGCACCTTCATGGGCAGAGCACCCTGACCCAGTTCCTGTCCGTGAGGTGCTCTTGCAGGGGCCAAGAATTGGGAGCAGCCGGCACTAGTCCAGGGCCCAGTAAGAAGAACCCGTCTGTAGCCACATCTGCCCCTCACGGCACCCCAGCCTGGCTCGTGACCTGGCGCATGCTGGCCTGGTGGGGAGTCTGCAGAGTGCCTTGTGAGAATCCAGCGAGCCTTCAAGGCCAGGGAGGCTGGGAGAGAAAGCTGCAACTTCCCCCAGACATGGAGCCCCCTCCCCAGTCACTTGTAGGGGAGAGGAGGGCTGCAGGCCCCTGGGGGGCCCACCCAGCTGGGGTCCCCCGGCCTCCTCAGCTAAGCAGGCGCACAGCCTCAGCGTCTGTCTGCCAGGGTCTCCAGGCCACGGCGTCTCAGTTGCTGTTCTCTGTCTTCTGGTGCTTGCCAGCTTGGTTGGTAAAGTGAGGAAGGTTTCACCCACCACAGAAGTGCGGGTGCTGCCAAGGGAGCAGGAAGGGGATTGTTAAGGTATTTCTTAAACCGCAACTCGTAAGGCTTGTTTTTCTTGATATTTTTTCAACAACTTGGAATTTTGAAACAAGGATGGAAATTTCATTTTTCCCACTGCTTTAAAACAATGTCCTTTCCTCATTGAAACCACAGCTTCCTCTCCTCTCTTCACGGACCCCTGCACTTGGATGCGCTCCAGCAGTGTGGGGCCCGCCCCGAAGCCTTGGCTCACCTCCACACAGCCCCGCCTGGCCCCGATCCACTTTGGCATTGGCCTTCATGCCCTTGATTATCTGGGACCTTCAAGCCCACGTTTCTTCCCCTTCAGATGCTGCAAGAGGGGCTACAGGGCTGCTCAGCTGGCGCTCCTGAGGCGGGAGAAGGGGAAGGAGCCCGGGCAGGTGGTGAGCCTGGAGGCACGGCGGGGAAGCCAGGCTCGCCCTGTACCTGCCCCTGCCCAGCCTCTCCTGGCTGCCAGGCTGTGCCGACCTCGCCTGCGTGGGTTTCTGTGCTGTGAGCTCTCTCCCCAAACCCTGGCAGGAGCCTAGGAGCTACGGGAGGGAGAAACTGAGACTCAGAGGAGCCAGTGATTTTCTGCAGGTGGGGGCGCTGGCAGTTGGACACTGTACCCACCCCTCCGTGAGAGCACCTGCGTGTGCACCCCCGCCTCTGCATTCTCCACCTACTTACTGGGCAGCTCTTTGGGGGCTCCCAGCACCACCTCTTCTGTGAGAAAGGGCCAAGCCTGAGCCTACACCAGCAGATGAGCACCCCGGGCTGCCTGTATGGCCAGGAAGACAGCATTTGAAACCAGAGGCAAGATTTACCCAGCAGGAGGTGTGCGGGTAGGGGAGGCCTGGGGAGGGGCCTCCTGCTGTTGGGAGTTGCTGGAATGCCCTGTCCCAAGGTCCTTGGTCAGACAACCCCCCCCCCCCCCCCCCGCACACATCCTCCCCCTATGGGCCTGCTGGCACCCCTATGTCGGAGCTCAGCTTACATGTCTCTCTGTTCTGCTGGCTTCTCCCATCAGTGAGGGCCTATGCAAACCAACCCTCCGGTGCACGGGGTGCACTGCATGCTGGGGCCAGACCACCACTTCTCTGTAAACCCTGCACAGCCTCAGACCTTGGAAGTGGGAAGGTCTCAGGCTTGTGTTAGGGGCAGGGGGAGCTCCTGGGGGACACTGGCTTCTCCCTGTAAACCGAACTGTGTGGCAGGGTGGGGAAGGGTGAACCACAGCCACTGAGGCACCAGGTGGGGTCTCCCCACCTTGCCTTCGTGGGAACACACAGGCCCCGTGAGGCTCTGGCACGCTCCCTTGCC